CGGGGCGGGTCGGGTCGGGGCCGGGCTACCTCTCCAAGGCCGCTGCGTCCAGGTTGGCCATCCCCAGAAAGTTCTCCACTCTCGCTTTGACGTCTTCATCAAAGCCTCCTGGAGCCAGGCGGGCAGTCAGCACGCTCTTGGGAGAGGCCCGGGCCTGGACGCTGAGGCCAGGCTGGCACAGGGGCGCTGACCGCGAGACCGCCCCCCGCCCCCCACGCGGCGCCTCACCGTGCAGCAGGCACTGCAGACACGCGGCCAGGGACGGGACGCCCGCAGGCAGCAGCTCACACAGCACGGAGAAGTGGTCGTACCTGCGGGGGCAGCGCCCGCCTGCCAGCTCGGCCTCGGGCAGGCCGCAGCACAGCCGCGGGCCCCGGGGGTCTGACGCACGGGCCTCCTAGAACCCACCAGCCAGCCTGGACGAGGTGTTGCGGGGCACAGTCCTGGAGTGTGGGGCACCCCGTGCCCTGGCCCACCCTGCTCGAGGCCCGCCGTCCTCCCCTGTGGCCGGGGGGCCTCGCAGACGGGGCTCTGTCGGGATCCCCTCTGGTCTGGGGGCCAGTGCAGGGTGTGAGGGGCTCGACCCCAAGTGGCTTCTCCCCGCAGCTGCTGCACCACAGTGCTGGCCCCCAAGGCAGGCCAGCACTGGACAGCTAAGGGTGCTTTGGCCCCACCCCCCCCTCACCTCTGCCAGCCTGTCAGGATGATGCCCTGCAGGGTGTCCGCCGGCCCGCTGGCCGCCACTTGCAGCCACCGCACGTGATTCCCAAGGTGGTGCTGGATGGGGGTCAGGGCCTGGTTGGCCCCTGTGGCCCCCTTGAAGGCGCTGGCAGCCCACAGCCGGGGGAAGCCGCACTTTCGGAACTTCTCCATGAGACGGACTGAGCAGGAAGGAAGGGGCAGCTGGCCCGGCTCCAAGGACACGCTGCCCCCCAGAAGTCCAGGTGGCCAGGCAAGCCGAGGGGGGCACACGCAGCAAGGGGCCAAGGGCAGCCAGTCCCCGGGGTTCTGAGGAGCCACTGGGCAGTAGTGGCTGTCACGTGGGGCTAGCCCATGGTCTGCTGGCCACGCACTACTGACCCTTGCCGTGGACGTCCAGGTCGGCTGCATAGTCCCAGAGCACGGGCTCCACCAGCTGCGGCACCCCGGACGCTGGGCAAGAGGAGCCGTGAGCGCGGCTCTCCAGGGCCGCCCTGTGCCCACAAGCCCCGCCCAGAGCCCGCAGCAGCGCTCTCCGGAGCTCAGGGTGGCCTCGTCCACCCTGGGTCACGCTTCCCCGAAGTTAGCCCATCAGCGGCCAGCGGCCTCGGCGAGATGCCGGGCCAGGCTGCGCGGGCAGGACAGGCCTCCCGCCTCTCCTCGCCGCCCAGGCAGGGCCCGCCTGCATCTGACAGCCCTCCCGGGACGGGACGCCTGGGGCGGGGTCTGCGAGACTCGCCGGGCTCCGTTTGTGGGGCGTCAGCCTATGAGCAAAGCTCTGCGCGAGAGCAGGAGCCCCCTTGCCTGGCCCCACACCCACCTGCCAGCTGGTCCTCGGGGACGTCCCGCAGCATGTCGTCCCACACCAGCGGGCGCGTGGCCGGGTGCCGGGCCCGCAGCAGGCTGGCCACGGCCCTCACGTGCGACAGGCACAGCTTCGCCTTCGTGTTCTGCTCCTGCTGCAGCCACTGCCTCGAGGCCGCCCCCTCCCCCAGGTAGTACACCTGCAGGAGACGCCCGTCTGGCCCCTCCCCAGGCAGTGCCCTGTGGGCCCCTCTGTCCGTCCCACTCACCCACCCGATGGCCTGGCCCGAGTGCCCGGGGCTGCAGGAGCCCAGGCCGCCCAGGCAGAGGGGGGCGGGTGCACCGTCACGCGGGGAGCGGGGAGACGCATGGGGCAGACGCGGCGCGCTCCCGCCAGCCGGGCGGCCAGCCAGGGAGGTGCACTAGGCGCCCACTCAAGGGCCCGGTCTTTCGGGTGGCGAGGGGAGCAGTGGCGCGGCCCCGGGGTGTCCGCAGAAGGGCTCCAGGCCAGCGGGGGCCACGGCCGCCGCCTTGGAGGTGGTTCCGGCTTCTCTGTCACCCACGGGGGACCTGGCCCCGGGGCCTGTGTGGGCCGGGCTCGTGGCGCCCCTCACTGGCCCCGGGGTGCCCCACGCGGGCGCCTGCTGTGCCGCGCCCCTCTGGGGAGTGTCTGGTCCCAGTGCCCCCCCAGGGCTGCCATGGTCCCGGGCGGAGGCTGTGGCGGGGGCAGCAGTCGGTGGGTCAGGGCCCTTCCCAGCGGCCACCAAGGCCTCATGCTGACAGCGACACGTGCTCCGTTTTAAGTGGTTGAACCCAGAGTGCATCTTCCTTCCTTCCTTTCTTTTTTCTTTCGAAAAGAATAAATAGTGTAAAATGCAGCGTCCGGCCAGTCTGTGCGTCCCGGGTGTCCCTCTAGGACTAGGGTGAGGGAGCCTCGGGGGCCCCCCCGGGCTCCAGAGCAAGGGCAGAAACCGCCCCCGCGCCCCCGCTCTGGAGGGCGACGTCCAGCCCCTGCTCGGGGGCCAGAGCGGACGCGGC